GGGCTTTCTCAAAACTTGAAAATTTCAACACATGCAACTCTGCATGGTAGTTGCGTAGAATCAAATAAGTTGGTGAAATCACTTCCAATTCCATATGGATTATTTAGCTCTCTCTGATCCAGCAATGGTTTAAACTAGTTTAATAGCCCATCAAAAATCAGGCGCAGCTGCAGTTAAAACCTTTACCAGAAATTCCAGAAGGGAGATTCCCATCTGTTACGCAGCAGAATATCAATTGGGCCGGCAATCTTCTGACACCCAAATGCAGATTGTAGACCACCAAACAAATCATTTTTCTCAATATATGGTAACAAAAATAAAAAAGAAGATGATAATGGGCGACAAATTTCAGAAATGACTTACAAAGGCGGTCTAAAATATACTGATGTGTCTTGGTTGATTTGTACACATAGTTGTGGTGAGATCATGAAAAGGTGACCCCTCTTGGCCCCTTACTCCTACAGAGGCTACAACTACTGTCATTGTTCACCAAATTAATTGCTACCTCTCGAAGATATTGGTTGTAACCAATGGTAGTAACAGGAAAGTTGAAAACTAATCCCAGAATAAACAAAGTGCATTAACGAAGAGATGAATAGTAGTAGTTCATACTTCAGATTCAGACTCTAATCCGCAGATAGCCAATTCTTTTCGGACCATTCTTCGAGCAATTATGAAGATATTGACACTTTGATCATTCATAAAAATTCGATTTTTTGATGTTAATATGGAGGAGTAAGAAAACCGATCATATAGCAAGTACAAATGTGGCTAGAACAACTGGCCGGCAGTTACACGTGGAATAGTCCATCGATAAGCATGCCACATAAGTCCTAATGTTACGGCAAATTGGTAAATGGTCCCTCGTCTTTCTGACGTATCTAGAATTAATCCTCAAGACTTGAACAAAAAAAAATAAATAAAGGAAAAGTTTACATTTTCAAATTTAGAATGTGTAGGACTAAAATTAAAGGAAAATGACTTGTCATTTTGTGTTTAGGGCGTACTTAGCTGATTACGCTTCTTGTAAATGTTAATTTTTATAAACTCAAAACCAGCATCCAAAAAGTAAGTATATGGAGGTTTTTTTTTTTAGCACATCATAATTAACATCACAAAACTGATTTTCTAAAATCACAAGCTGAAAGCGCGTCTTAAAAATTGGCTAAGAGCAGGCAGGCCTTAATGCAGTCTTGCCATTAATTTGAATGTAATATGTCCTTTTGTCATTGATGGCATCTAATTAAGAAAAAAATGCACTTTTCATCCTCAAAGGTTGGGTTGATAACCAATTTCGCCCTCAAAGTTTCACTAAGAATACATTTCATCCTCAAAGTTTCTGAATTTTGGCCAATTAGGGACAATTGACAGAATAACACTTAATTTGGATGGAAAGCAACGCGTAAGAAGCATACCCCGTTAGAACCAACTTTGCATTCAACAAAAAAAGGATAAAACCTGTTCTTGCTTCATTTATGTCCTCTCCGCTCCTCTTCTTATTGTAATTCTTAAAAAATTTCTAACCACCCTTACCATTCTAAATCCAGTCATTTCTAGGAAAAAGGTTGACATAAATGGTCGACATCCACTTATTCATGGGTTATAGATGACTTGGATTTGAGTATCTATCGAAACGCATTAAATTAACCTAGTCCATTTAGTTTAAATTTTATTTTATTTTTTACCTATAAGAAAATATAATAGAGGAAACTCTATTTGCAAAAATAGAGGAAATCCATAAAAAATTGGTAGGTTATTGTTTCTTTATCTTGTATAGAAACTACCAGTTGTTTATAACTTTAATTTTAGGGATAATTTCAGAAATCTCAGGGGAGGGTTTTGACTATTGTAGGTAGGTCCTCTCTAATTTAAAAGATTACACTTACCTTCTCTACTATTAGTATTTTAGTAACAATATATAAATCCACTATGCTAAATTTGTCCTAAAACCCCTAAAATACCTCTTTATTAGTTAGAAGGGGGGGAAACTCGCTCATGAATTTCTTCCACATTGCAACTATTGCAATCGGCATAACTACCACCCTAACGAAGTCAATAAGCCACCTTAACTTAATCCTCGTATTCTCATAATTTCGAAAGCCCAACTTTGCAGCTCTAAAGCTTCCTGTACAAATCAATTATGACAATTAACCATTCCATTCAACCTAATCTTTTTCCTCAATTTTTTTACCCAAATTTTGCATCTAAATTGACCAATGTCATTATTCAAATTCAATCAAAATGGATGCAAGCTTGTTGATGTTAAAATAATCTAATCCACCAAGAATACCAATAAGGAGCAACCAAAAGCAACATTAGAGACCACATTCTATGTCTTTAGGCAAATTTGATTATAGTTCTTATATCCCAAAATTCTTTTTTTTTTTACACAATTGGTATAATAGTGTAATCTTCCTCAATCTATGTTTCTTTTTTAGCCATCTTTTTTATTTTCTTGTTTGTAATTTGTATCACCGCCATTCTTTTCATCTTCATTTAGTTTGATAACAAATATGCTTTGACAACCTATTATTTAGCAATGTCAATTCAATAATAGTTACAAAAAAGGAAAACAAAAAAAAAGGATCTATTTCCATAATAATGAGGATTCGGGATGTATTAGATGGTTGTATAGATGGCAACTATGGAAAAAAAGTGGACTATGAAATACAGGAGAGAAAAGGTAAGAGAGAGCATCGAAGAGAGAGAATAAGAGTTTGTTTTGTGTGGTAACCGTTGTTTTAAAATGAAAGATTAGTTTTAGTTGTAGACTTTTTTAAAAATTATCTATAAGTGAAGGATATTATAGTAATTTTACTGCATGAATGGAGGTTAATGTAATTATTCAAAACTAAGGGAGATGAGTGAAATTGTCAAAAACCTCAGGGGAGGTTTCTGAAATTATTCCTTTCTTTTATCTTGTCCAAAAATTATCACCTCTTTATAACTTCTTTTTTTACCTTCTCTAGAAATGAAAAAAATGCTAGCTATGCATAGGATTCTTTGTGGGCTTCTTTTATTTCCCATAAACTATCAGACGTTCGTTGTTTTCGTCCATTATTTGAAAAAACTACCAGTTATTTATGGGTATGATTTGAGTTCCAAGCTAAAATAGGCATTATAAAAAAAAAATCACCAACTATTTTTATCTTCATGCTGATTTACATGTCAATAAGGTAAGAAGGAAAATTTTGGTAGAGTTTTGCCTTAAATTTTAACAATCCAAAGTAGCAACCAAACTGGATATTGTAACCAAATTAATATAACCAACTAAAACCATCAAAAAAGAAGAGGCATAGGCTTGTCAAAAATGCATTCCAAGTGGTCCTTGACATGGCTCCTACTGAATATGGACCATAAACAAAATAACGTAAAGATACAAAAATTAGAATTCAGAAGTTATACCACTAATATCTGCACTTCTGAACGGATTTTATCCCTTTTTTGTTGGTTCTAATAGAACATGCTTCTCGCGTGCAACTTTCCGTCCAAATTGAGTGTTATTCTGTCAATTGTCCCTAAGTGGCCAAAATTCAAGAACTTTGAGGATGAAATGTATTCTTGATGAAACTTTGAGGACGAAATCAGTCATCAACCCAGCATTTGAGGATGAAAAGTGCATTTTTCCCTCTAATTAATACCATAACTTCCAAAGGAAAAAACATGATTAGAAAAAAAAAAATTAGATCTCGCGCTTAATTGGGTGCGAATAATTTACAATTGAATGCCGCAAGAAATACATCGCAAGCAGTTAATCCCTCCTAATTAAATTAAGTAGTTTCAGACCCTATAATACTTTTTTCACCCAGATATAATTAAATACCATTCATGGGAAGTTAAATACCACCATTCCATTTATCACATTAGCTAGGCACAAACACATATACTTAGATATGATGCAAAAACAATTGATAGTTAAATGTTCAAAATAGCAAATGGATGTGGGGAAGTAGATAATTATTCTTAGTTACATTTCCGCTTGTTTCGATGTCATCTCTTGATATTTTCGTCGAGCAAAAATGAGAGTTCGAGGAGGATGTACATATTGTGTACCTGCAAATGCTATATTGACACTTGGTGGGTTAAAAGTGTAAGAGAGATAGAAATACCTAACCTACACTACAAATACGCATTTTGAAAATTTGACGCGCTTGGTGGGTCTGTCAACTTATAAAAATAGTAGTTACCATGTAGAAACAAAATCTTCAATATGGTTGATCGATTTGACCATCCAAAAACCAAATGAATTCTTTAGCGACCAAATAGGCAAATTTTAAAGTCGAGAAGCCAAAATGACCTATCCTCACTCAGAATATTAGTCCATATCCAAAGTGTACCTAAGAATTTGGAAAGCAAATTATAATGATATCTAAGCACCCCATTTGAAATGTCTTGGAACAATTTTGGGTACAAACGTTAAAGGACTTACCTTACACTTGTTGTAAAAATGATTTCTAACTCAAAAGTAAAAAAAAAATGAATATACAAATAAATTTAAATCAATTAGCTTCAATTATCAGATCAAGCAGTTGTTGTTATACGTACCCTCAAAACTCAATATAAATGGTGTTGGTTCTAATCCCTAATCCTTTCATGAGTTGACAGCTATATAAATCAGAGTTCTAGCCAAAAATATATATATATTTCTTTTCGTTCTTGACAAAACATAAGCAAAGATGAAATGTGTTCTATGCTATACTATATATATGGTGTGCTGGATATCATTATTTGTTCTTTCATGTTATTAGGAACGCATAACTATTTGAGATAGAGCTGATGTTTCACCTTATATTTCGGAGCCAGTAACTTGGAATGCTAAAAAAAAAAAAAAACCAACCATATATGGAAGTGGGAAGAACCAGCAAGAAACATGTATGGTGTTGTAGAAAAATGCCTCTCATGAACCTTGAGAACACTCTCCTGTTTTTCTTTTTTCCGCTCTAATCATTTCCCTCAAACTATTTTTTTTTTTCAGTTTCTTCACAGTAACAATCAAATTAATGTTCACCGGGGATCAAGAAAAGGCTAACACCGGCGGCGCTTCTTTGCTGCCGGTCACCGTCCATAAGACGAGAAGAAGAGCATTGGATTACGTAGAGTACGCGGAAAACGATGGTTCATCGGCCAGTCACAGCCTGCAACGCTCGGAGCATAACAGATCTCCGCGAAGGAGAATGAATTCAATGACATTGAAATGTTTATGGCCACGGTGGAGTGTGACCCTTTGCTTTTTCGGAGCCTTGATATTATTTGTGCTTTCCACCATCTTTTTAAAGATAATGCTGATGAGCAGCTTTAATCCTACAGTTGATGCTAAAACGAATTCTTATCCTTTTTTGAGACGTCAACAGCCTTTGGAAGCCTCCTCTGCCGTTGCATCACCGAAGATTTTTCAACACTTGCATGAACAGGTGGTGCTTATATGCTTCTTTTAGCTAAAATATATATAATATTCTTCACAATTCCCCCTATCAAATTCAACCACCCCTGCCCCCCCCCCTCCCCTTCTTACAAAAAAGAAAAAGAAAAAAGGAAGATAAATCTTTTTTTTTTCCCATTTATTGTACCTTTATTTAATCTTGCCAGTATCATTGAAGTACATAAAACTTCTTATTTATGACAAGACAAAATGCATCTCCTAGACATGCTTCTATTTGGGATTAGAGGGGTTCCTTGCGTTTTCCACTTGTGGGAAGCAAACCTTTTACTCTCACTTGTTTGGTACATTTGTGCAGATCCCTAAAAGATATGACTGATTCTGGCATGTATAGGTGAAAGTTGAAACCACCTTTTACCCCTCACCTTCTTCCTACCTCACCTTAAGTTATTACGTCTTACGGTGGCTTTTATGCTTTATGATCATTTTATTTTCTTCTTCTAGACCAAGAAACTCACCTATCATCAGATGTTCTTTTCTGTTGGACAAGCTTATTTCGTCCAATATCTCTAGCATATATCGCTGTGGTTTGGGGCACTTCTTCCAATTCCTCTTTGGGAGTCAAGGTCATTGAAGCACATTTCTGCAATCTACCATGATTATACACAAATAGTGAAAGACGCTTATCTAATTCTCCCCTAGCATACCCTTTAATGCCCCAAAAAAAAAATGTCTTAGTGTTTAGGGTCAAACCTATTCCAAAAAGAAAAAAGGGATAGTCAAACAGTGTATCAGTAGCAAAGATGATACCACAAGATAGTAACCTCAGATTTTCTTGGTTTTTCATCTCAGATACCTGATATTTGGAAGAAGCCTAGAAGTGGCAGGTTTTCTAAATGCATCGGAAGATCGAAACGTAAACTCGGTCTGTAACAATTCATCGTTTTCCCATCTTGACGACTGGAATTTTTTCTCCATCTTTGATTGTAGCTTAACTTTCCCTCAGGCGAAACTGCCACAAATGGTTACGTTCTAGTTCATGCAAATGGTGGACTAAATCAAATGACTACAGGGGTAAGCCGTAAGCAATCATACCCGCAGGAAAATGTGCTGCTAATACTATTTTTGCGAAATTTATGCTATCCATCTCTGAATCCAAGAAACATGTACAGATAAGTGATATGGTTGCCATCGCAAAATTACTAAATGCAACGTTGGTTCTTCCTTCCTTAGATCATACCTCCTTTTGGAAAGATCCAAGGTGAGGATTTTGCTACAATCACTTTCTGAATTTGGGGAGAAAAAAAAGGATCTCGCTGTTTATAAAGCTTATTGCCACAGTGAATTTAAAGATATTTTCAACTGGAAGCACTTCATGGAAGCTCTCAAAGATGATATTGAAGTGCTAGAGTCTCTTCCACCAAGCATCGCCAAGGTGAAGCCTATAGTCAAAGCCCCCGTTTCCTGGTCAAAGGCATGTAATTCTTCTGATCTCTTCCTCCTCTAATTTTACTAATTTTTTCTTTTATTTCAATTTTTTGAGCACTAAAAACATTGGTGGTTTCACGATGTTGCAGCCGAGATACTATAGGGGAGAAATCCTGTCGTTATTAAAGAAGAAAGGGGTGATAGAATTTCCACTCTCCGATTCCCGTCTTGCTAACAATGGCGTGCCGAGTTCAATCCAGAGGCTTCGCTGTTATACAATGTTTGAAGCACTTCGATTTGCGGAAGAGATAGAAGAACTAGGAAAGAAGTTAATAAGCAGACTAAGGGAAGATGGTGATCGATACATTGCACTTCATTTAAGGCAGGTTAAAAGAATGTTTACAGTAAGCATTTGTTAATGTCATAGCTGATGGCATTGGAAAGTATCCTAAGCAGGCAATTTCTTGACAGATACGAAAAGGACATGCTTGCCTTCACTGGTTGCACCCACAACCTCAATAGAACAGAATCCGAGGAGCTTCGGCGTTTAAGGTATAAAACCAGGCGCTGGAAAGAGAAACAGATAAACGGCACGCTGCGGCGACTTGAAGGAGGGTGTCCCATGACACCGAGGGAAGCTGCCGTTTTTCTTCAGGCTTTGGGATATCCCTCCAGCACTAAAATCTACATAGTTGCCGGAGAAATATACGGTGACAAACTTACTCAGTTCAAGAAGCACTACCCGAATACTTATTCTCATTCCACCTTGGCTACCGAGCAAGAGTTGCAACCATTTGGGCGACGCCACAACAAGCTTGCTGCAATAGACTATACTGTTGCCCTGGAGAGTGATGTCTTTGTTTACACCTATGACGGGAATATGGCAAAAGCAGTGCGTGGTCATCGCATTTTTGAAGGCTTTCGGAAAACAATCAACCCTGACAAGTGAGTATTCTTTGTTGGTTTTACTGATCCTTCCATTCTAACAAAACAATTTGCACGATCCGTACATGAAAGATTTAGTCCATATTTTACTGCCTATGACGCGTCTTAAATGTTGCAGGCGGAACTTCGTCACGCTTATTGATAAACTGGACAAAGGACTGATGTCTTGGGATGAATTCTCATCCGAAGTTAAGAGATTACACGAGAGCAGAATTGGAGGACCCTACTACAGAGAAGTTAAAGAATCTCCAAAACTCGAAGAGAACTTCTATGCCAATCCTTTGCCTGGTTGTGTTTGTGAAGATTAAACAAAACAGAGGGATACAAGCAAAGAAAAAGCAGATTGCTTCCCGAACCGCCAAGCAGAGCGGTTTTGGTGCAAAGATGGTTATGCAATATATTTGACACAAAGTGGTTCCATAGAACACCCGACAGTGTAGAGGCGAAGAGCAGTCTCCACCCTCGAGGGTAGAATCTGGGAAGCCTGCTGTGCACGAAACAGAACTTTTTTTTTTTTTTTGGGGGGGGGGGGGGATACAGTCCCAGCATAGGTAACGCAGACCTTACAGAAACACATTATTGATCCCGTAGACATGCAGTGTCCCAATCAATTTTCTTGTCCGTCGAGAATAGCATCCAAACTTTCTTTGATCCTCACAAGCTTGGAGACAAATTTTTATTTACTGTAACATCATTCTCAAGATTGCAATAGATTTTGCATTTGTTTTCCTTATTATCTTGTGCTCGAAACTCTTTTCAAGACACTTAAAATCTATATATTCCGTACAATAAAGTATTTAAAGTTGCAGGAGCAGCTGTATCATCGATTCCCCTTGCTCTAGAACATTTACATGCGTTGGTAACGCGTCCACCATGTTTAGATCAATCAAATCAAGTAAGACACCAGTAAACAATTCATTTGGCGCGCACAAGTATCGAAAGGCCTGATGCAAAAGCATAATGAAGAAATAATGAGAGCCAAGGCATGCATGAAAGCCACCTCAACATCTCAGGAAACCCAATAATACACTATGGACGAATAGTAGAAGATGTCCCAAATTAATTATACCAATCCAGAAAAAGGATGGAGAAAGTAAGTACAAATAGAAAAAGCAAGAGAAATGTTCTACTACTGCTATTGCGCTGAATGGCTTGAGAGAGCTCCTTGTTACCCAGCTCAACATTTTTTGTAGCTTCTACTGCCTGTTTGTTAACAGCAAAGGAAAAGTGTAAGTACAAAGTTTTTTTTTCTCTTTTGCAGCTGAAAATGCTGTCCAAAAACACTTTCAGCATATGCATTTTTTAGCTGACAGAGAAAAACATCTGACACAAATTTAAATCAATTAGTAGACAGATCTATAATCCAGAAGATAATCCAAGAATGAGCAGTATGGAAATTTCAAGTTAATCGGTCTTATGAATACTTTGTCTGCAAAAAAGTAGACAAATTCTTAACATGACATGTTGAACTCAGACTAAATGGTGATGCTTCACGTGGCATACATAGCTTATCCACATTCAGTCTTGAGCACACACAACCAGAAGACATAACTCTCCCGATTAAGCTACCAATAAACCTCTCCTCTCCCAGCATAATCCAGCTTATCTTCTTTCAGTGGCTTATAAAAACTGCAATTATGTCAATTATGCGTTACTCCTAGGATTCGTTCAGTCAAGTATGCGTTACTCCACTAGTTGTAACATGTTATCCATAGTCTCTTTCTCCCAACAAATTCATGAGTATACTATCCGCCAACATAATCCAGTATTAACAGATATTTGCCTAATGACTTGCCGAAATGGCATGAAAAGAGCAAAATGCAGGATATGCTATGCTATTGATACTTCCATTAGGACTGGGAAGATCTCACCTGCTCATACAAAAGCTCTATTTGTTGAGCTTGTTGCAAGACATGAGTAGACATCAGGTGATTCAAGGCAGACATTTCAACCATTTTTTTCTCAGTTTCTTGTGCCGCATCCAGAAGGCTGGACAACTCAACCTGCACCAATATGCATGCAACAAAGCAAATGCTAAGTTATCCATCTTAGAGACATTCCTGGTAAAAAATAAAAATAGACTCCAAATTTTCATCCCCAGTCGGTATGGGTATAACCTGGAGGGCACGTGTTTCATCATCCAAAAGTTGCTCTTGAACCCTAATAGGACCTGGTTGAGCTTCTTCAGACTCCCTGACCTCTTTGTCATATGTCTCTCTCGGTCCAACATTACTTGATCTGGCAACTTCTTTTACTTCTTCTGTGCCAGCTTGCCTCCGCTTTCTTCTTGGGGTTACTCGATTAATAGCATCTTGGAAGCGTACAGCTCTCAGCTTGTCAAAATGTGATGTAACTGAATGAAGCTTTTCACTTAGAATCAAAACCTATGCAATGGAATGGAAAGGATGCAGAAAGTCAAATGAGGACTCCATGGAGCACAGAAACTAAAACAACACACCTGAAAGATTAAATATAAGCTTCTCATGTATCTAAAGCCTTATATGTCATGTACTTCACATACACATTTGACCAGCACAACTTTATCTTCAACATACAACATTACAGAACTACAAAAACTGAAGCAGCTTTTCTATTTCAATCCTTCTTCAGGAGATGCAGGATTTGTCCTTTTCAAAACTGTGCATACAAAGGTGTACAGTGATGCATGATAAGAGATTGGATACAGACAATTCTCACCACTTTGGACACAGGTTTTAAAACATCTTCAGTTTGAACAATTACTTTCATTGTCATCGTGGTTCATAACCAGCCCCCCAAATTACTTGTATTTCATCTCAGAGAATAGATTATGCACCATCAACCCACACCCAGCAAACAGGACAATAAAAGGGAATAAAATGGGCTCCAAAAAGAAATGCTTCGATCTCTAACCAGACAGAACAGCAAAAGTTGTGTGCATACCACTCCATGTTTGTGTGCGATTGTGTCAGCGTTCAAATTGTCACCCTTGATACCAAGCCAGCCCCTTGAATTTGTTTCTTCATCATTTATACTATTCTTAAGAACATCTATTTGCTCTTTGCATGCTTTAATGAAAACAGTAACCTGCAAAAGCAAATGTGTTAGAAAAACTATTCACTGGGGATCATACAACAACATTTCATCAATCTACACTGCTCCAATTAGCTCAGTTGATACAATATAAGCACATTCGATAAAAGGTCTTTGAATATATTCATATACCTTTTACTTTAAAGTGTCATGGAAGCACAGACCAACTTTCTAGGACTAAGAACTTCTATCTGTACATAAGACACTCTTTAGAAGTTACAGAACTTCAAGTTATCACAATTTAGTAGGCCTCAAATGAGATTCAATTCCCACAAACCCCATTCAATTTAAGATCCAAAAATGCAAGATCATTTACAAGGACAATCCTCCACCATCCCAAGAACCATTGGATAATTTAGGATCTGAAACTCGAAAGAAAAAGAATGTACCTACAATAGGTGCTAATTCTGGAAACATTCCAATAGAATCTCCATGTCTATCCACATAGTTCCATTATTTCAACAAACCACCCATAGATCAAAAAGTAGCATTACTGCCATGCATAACTTTTATTTAAGCAAAACTATTACTACTACAAAAAGACAATAAAGTACTAAGCAAAATCATTCAGTAAAACTGGAATGTATTAACTACATTTGAAACCTTTCTATTTCAAAACTACTAAAACTAAAGCACGCCAAATGAATGGTGTTCAAAAAACTTACTTCATGTTCAATGCTATCTCTCTCTTGTTCAGTGGTGCGGTGCTGATCTAAATAATCCTTCTTATGCTTCATTAAGAAGTGTTCCAGTGCTTCAATGCTTCCAAGCTAGACAATAATTTAGAAAACTAGTTACATAAACAGGAAGCAGACACAAAGATTTTATATGTATTTCTACCTCAAATACATCATAGGCAAGACACAATTACAAAATAAAGCAGAAGAAATGAAGTATTTGTAGTTAACAATTCATTACCGTTTTCAATGCAGCTTTCATAAATGAAGTCCTTTCCCAAGGTTTGTGCATAATAAAAGATGACAAAATAGCTGCTGTTTTGGCCTGTCAACAAGAATCCAACCTCACATAAAGACAACCTTGACTATGAACAAATCAGAAAAAGCATCCAAATACTAGTGTAAGGTTTATAGTCTGAATTCCAAATAATAAAAGAAAAGATGCTGGACTGACAATGCATGGTTAGAGAAATAAAAAGAAAATTGACAGCTATATTTAGATAGTTTCAGTCAAATTAATTCTTATAGGATTTTATTAAACTGTAACAGAACAATGCGACACAAACTTGCAGGCAAACCATCACTGTTCGAAAGTACATTTCCAGCCACAAAAGTTAAAGCCTTTGCAACTATATTTTCTCTTTGGCAAATTTTATGTAAGAGATAAGGCCCACAAAATTTATGAAGCAAAACAATTGTCTATCTAGACCACAAAGATTGCTACTTTCAAAGTGGTTCCATGACATCTTGGCATGTCAACATAGAATAACAAAAACAAAAACTTGCACTGGAAGAATGCAGCATCAATAGATGACAAGGGCTATGTGATTGTAAGCAATAAGCATTCGAGCTGAAATTCTTCCTACATCTGGATAAACAAGTAACGATTACAGAAGTTCAATTTCTGTGTAAGCATCGATAACCAGACAGACTAAGATGGAAGTGGATCGCAAAGATTTAATGAACCTCAGTGAAACCCAATGAAACAGCCGAACGACGGACAGCATCCCTGAAATCTTCAGTTCTATCTCTAGCTTTCGCCATTCCTTCAAAACCAAAAGCAAGCAACATCAGGGAAAAATTACCCAATAACAAAACGAACAAAAGAATACCCAAATGAGATGTAACTAACCCGAAACTAAATTAAGAGAATGCAGTAACAAGCTTAACATCAAAGGTCAAGTACATTAACCTTATTCATACTCCTTACAAAATCCTAAGTTCCAGTTTCTCGCACCCAAATCGGATTGTAATCGCCAAAAATGAGAACCATACCAGATTTAAAAATTTTAATGCTATTACAATTGAAAGAATTACACAATTGATACTGTCAAGCACGTCCTACCTAAAAAACCAAACAAAAAGAGCCCTAAAAGCTGGGAGAAGGGGGGGAAAAGGATAATTTATCAAAACAAAATGAATTTCGCAATACTTACTGGAAAATAAAAGAAAAGAATGAATACTGCGGCAGGATCAAGTGCTCAGGACCTTGGATCGAAGTGAATGGCGGACACAGAAGAGCAAATTGTCCAATTATTTCGCTTCAAAAGAAAATCGGAGTGGCAATCGTATATTTTGTAGAGCCTTTCACCAGCATAATGATACGACGCCGTAAATCAAAAGTCAATTGCAGTAATAGTGACGAAGTTACCAGCTGAGAATGCTGTATGAAAACTAAAAAGGAATAAATAAATTTGGCGCCCGGGGGCGGTAATTGGGAGTAATCAGCGTTGGCGGTATTGTCGCCGGTGCTGAAGAATCCGGCGAAGAGGAAAAAGGAAGAAGAGAAGAAGTCTCGACTGTAAGTGCAAGGAGGAGGAGACTCGTTCCCTGTTGCGGTTGAGTGTTTTGCTTTTTCACCCCCTCCAAAGAAAGTGGAACGAAGTCGTTTGGAAGAGTTACTTACACATGCATTATTTATTTATTTATCTATCTATTTTATTCTTTGGCAACGCTGGCATTATTAGTCGAACCGGCAACCGGCAAGGACATTTGCTTCTCCAGTTTCGCCAAAATGGCTCTTTCAGTATTCTGCCGAAAGTGGAGATTCTGTTCTCTACCTCCACCAGTGGTACCATGCCGGAGTTTTCGATCGGACGCAGCTCTTGAAGCCCTATCCAAGGCCTCCGAAGCCAAAACCCCAAGCGTCCTCGTCCTCTATAACTATCCTTCCTTCTCCGGTGCCTTCTCCGCACTCTTCGCACATCTCTACCACTCCCGCCTCAATCTCCCTTGCCTCATTCTGCCTTTCTCGTCCGCCATTCCCTTCCGGTAAAACTAATACTACTATACTCGCACTCCCTCCATGTTGACTTTTTTATGCCAAACAACTCGAACGCAAAAAAAAAAAAAAATGGTTAATATGTCTTGTATTTTTCAGTAATCATTTTTTTATATACAGGGTGGAAGATGTGTGCATTCAAGGACTTAAAGAGTGCTACTTTCTTGATTTTCTTGGCCCAAAAGGTTTTGCTTTAGAGCTTTTCAAGCAAACATCTTGCAAGTATGTCTTTTTTTCTGTTTTCCTTTTCTTTCAATTCGAGTTCTTTTTTGCGAAGAAATTTCCTGAAAATATAAGTTGAGTCTAATTGTTGTTTTAATTAGGGTAATAGGATTTGATCATCGTAAGTCGACGTTGGCGAAGATTCCTGCTCCTAAGGAAAATTTGAATGAGAACCTTGCGTTACATGTCAATCTTGAGAAGAGTAGCTCCTTTGCTGTCTATGAATATTTCTCTTCTAAGCTTTCAGAAATTGTCTCGGATGATGTAAGTATTACTGCTTTGCAGTATTATGTTTATATACTTGTCTTTTTACGTAGATTTTTTGACACAGTAGTTTGGATAAAATAATAGGAGAACAGTATAGGTCTGACAGATCCTAAAGACCGAGAGCGTGTGGAATTGGTTCTCAAGTACATTGAAGATGGAGATCTTCGTAGATGGAGTTTGCCAGACAGCGAAACATTTAATGTTGGTATTCGTGAATGGCGCTCGAAGCTCAACTGCATCACTAATCCACAGATGTATAAGCAGGTTTGACTTAGAAGTGACTCAAATTGTTGTAAAGTTTGCAATTATTGTTGGTTTCCCATTCTCTGGGTAGCTCAGAGTTCAAAGTTAATCTTATTTGGGGGGTTACACACTGACACTGGCTTTTGAGGTCATTGCCTAGTGGTGAATAGGACTTAGCGGGAGCCTTCAGATACTCAAGTCTGCTAATTTTTTGTATTACATTGAGAACAAGTTGGTTTTTGTCTGATTTTATGTGGGTTTCTCATCATTTCTGTCAAAAGAAGAAATCTAAGGCCCCGTTTGGATTGCGATTTTCCTCAGAAAAATTACTACATTTTCCGTGAACACATTTCCCTATCACCTTTTTATCACATATACCAAATCGCTACAGTAATTTTTCTACAAAAAATCCAGAAAAATAAGTGCCATAACCTTTCTCTTGGTAGCCATGTGCATCTTCCTTTCATTAAGGCACCGTTTGGTTTGAAGGAATGGAAGGGAAAGGAAAGGAAAGGAAAGGAAAGGGTATTAATGGAAAGTGGTTTCCATCTATCTTGTTTGGATTAAGTATGAGAGGAAAAGAAAGGAATACTAAATTTTTGTTTGGATTGAAGAAGGAAAAGGAAGGAAATGAAAAGATCAAGTGTTAATTTACTGGAACATAGGGAAAAATAATCTTTTAAAAAAATTAAAATTATTTCAATTCAATTTATTTCAAACTAATCAGGATTGAAGTATATGCTTTCTGCATTGTGTGTTCCTTTATGCATCAAATTCAGCAGGTTTAAATTTTTCTTCAAAAGTTTAACTTAGTCATACCAATTCTCTTTCTGTGACAGTTGATGGAGATGAGTGCCATGGATATAATTGCTGGAGGCATCTCCTCTGTGTCTACTCGACAGATTGCTGCAAACAAATTGTTGGATAAGGTTTTCAAAGTTCGGTTGGGCAGAGGCTTGTATGGGGAATGCCTGGTAAAAATAAAGTTATCATCCTTCAGGATCATGATTGCTTCTTTTTTGCCTCAAAAGCTTTGGAATAAGAGTCTTGATGAAATATGATATTTGTTATTTGTCTGACAAAAATGATGGATCTTACCTAAGAATTATAATAAAGCACAATTACCTGCATCATAGCCATGTTCTTCACATATACTTTCATAGTGGAGATTTTGGAAAAGTGCATGTCGCTGGATTTTTACTCTGTGAGCATGAGCACAATTTTCTAACTTCTGCTAGCAGAGAAAATCGCTCTTCAGAAATGTTTGTAGATTTATTTATTTGATTTGTTTTCTGGTAATTTATGTACACTTTTTAACTCCTTTATTTTTTTTAGGGGGTCAGACTTTATGGTAGTTCAGATTTAATTGATGAGGTTGGCAAGGAACTTAGCAGAAGAAGTGCTGTGGCTGGACTAAGGTAGTATCTTAGTAAAGTCTTCTTTTCATTCATTTTTATTGTTTCTGGTCTAACAAGCTAAATGCAGAGTGTTTGATTTACTTTGTTAGTCGTTTTCTGGTATATCACGCTAGTATTGAGGTTTTTGAAGTATTCCTGGTTTATGAAACTGCCCTGTGGTTTGAAAACTATTCCTTACGGTGTTTAATTTTATCATAGGAAAAAACCTTGTCTAGCAGGACTAGTTAAGGAATGGTGGTGTAATTGTAGTGTGCACATACACTATCAATTCTTGTTCTCTATTCTGATCTGGATCTTTGGTGTTGATTCAGGTCTATAGGAGCTGTTGTTTACATGCAACGAAACAATCTTAAAATGTGTTTGAGGAGCATGGATGTCAATACTGATACTTCCGAAATTTCTAAGGTGTGCTTGGTGATTGTAAAAAACTTAGACTGCTGGTTGTCTTGTGAAATACTCCTCTGAAGCTTCTTTGTATTTTCAAATATGAAGGCTTGTGGTGGAGGTGGCTCTCCAGGTTCCAGCTCCTTCATCATCCGGATGGATGAATATAACAAATGGCTCTCATCATGCTCATCCTGAGCGCATTAACGTACAGAGATGAATTTTCATCCTGTAATATAAATATTTATTTTCCAAATCCCAAACTAGGCTTAAAGAAGTTGAATGACATTGTTGGAAGGAAATGGCTGTACAATTAGTCGAACCAGCAACCGGCAAGGACATTTCCTCATGAAGCTTAGCCCAATGGCTCTCTCATTGTTCTTCCTTCCACTGTCCCCCACGACCACCAGTGCTACCATGTCGGAGTTCTACATCGTAGGCCAAAACCCCACATGTCGTCATCTTCTACAGCTATCCTTCTCCTCACTCTTTGCACACCTCTACCACTCCCGCCTCAATCTCCCTTGCCTCAGTTTGCCTTTCTATTCCACCATTCCCTTCTGGTAAGACTAATACTACTATATTCACATTTCCTCCAAGTTGATTTTATTGTCCCAAAAAAAATGAAAAAAAAAAAAGGCTAGCATGTTTAGCAGTAATATATTTCACTAATCAGTTTCTTTCATATAGTGTGGAAGATGTTTGCATTGAAGGACTTAAAAGAGTGTTACTTTCTTGATTTTCTTGGACCAAAAGGTTTTGCTTTAGAGCTTTTCAACATTTCCAAAGCTTTTCTTGGACCAAAAGGATTTTTGGCATAGAAGTTGCATAAGAATAGGATATCATAATACATCAAAGCAGCTGATTGACATATTTTTCCTACTTAATTGGGATTGCTATGGGCTTTGAGATTTCTTGGAGGTTTAGCATCAGAATGTTGAAGAAATAGTTGTGTACTAAATGTAAGATACCTAAAGTCCTCTGTGTTAATGAAAAATCCAATGAGGCTACAAATGCAGATGATGTGTATAATCACTTATGCATTAGTGCACTGGACAACCTTCAATTGAGGCCTTTGGCTGTTGGACATGCTGCCAATTCACAGTATTCCCCATTTGTACCCCACCAAGTCACTCCTTTATTGTCCATTCCGAGTGTGAAGTATAGCAGCATGCCCATGAAATCTATACCAGCATCCAGAGCTGCTGAAAGAATGTAATTGTACCTTTGCCACCACTGCTTTCGGTAATGGAAGACAAAATAGTTGAAAATGATCCCTACTATGATCTAGGCATTGTAATTTAATCGTGTTGCTGGTGGGATGGCACCTCCTCCTCCCAGAAGGACTGGAAGGTTAATTAGAGGAATCCAAGAATGCTTTGGAAATGCCTTGTGGAAGAGCCAAACTATAGTAGATCCCAGGGCCCCTCGAAGAAAAAACCAATTCATTTCAGTGTAGTTTCCTAGAGTTCCAAAAATCCTTTTAGGTCCAACCAAACCCTCTATGGCAGATGCATCAAAGAACGCCCTATCTCCAGGGTATGTCCATGGACTATCTGGTGGAAGGAGGTCATCCTGGCAGATGTTCTCAATGGGGTGCAGCTGCCACCATGCCACAGATATGTTGATAGTGCTGCTATAATTGTTCCTATGAACTGGATCCACCCAAGAAAGAATTATAAAACCTGATGGTAATATTTCTGTAAAATATGATTTTCACTGCCAACGAAACAGCTTTTGCTACAGAACTCCTTGTTCTTGCATGTTCGCCTGGGCAGAGGGTTGTATGGGGAATGCATGGTGAAAACAAAGCTATCTTCCTTCAGTATTTGATTGCTGCATTTTATTGTCAACAGTATTTGTAATGCAAATCTTGATTAATTTGATATCTGTTATTTTTCTGACAAAATTGATGGATCTTCCCTAGAAATTATGGAAGTTATCTGCATCATAGTCTTTTTCCTCACATATACTCTCATACTGGAGATGTTGGGAAAGTAAATTTTGTTAGCTGTCTACTGGTGCACATAAACATAATCTTTTGCCTTCTGCTAGCAGAAAAAGTCTCCTTGCTTTTAGTCTTGCTGCATTGAGAAGGAATTGACAATTCTAATTTGTTCTCTTTACCTCAATCTCTTCCTATCTGTTACTATGTCATTTAAATTGCTTTTTAAAGATTGATTTTATAGTCCTGTTAGAGCTTTTATTTGTTAGAGAATGAATTTCAGTCATTGATCAAATCTCCATGTTAACAGGGCAATGGAAATGTGGTGTAGCTGCTCCCCTACTTTGACATATATACCGTAGTTCAATAAGTCACATCAATTGTTTGTGAAATGTCTTAGTTGAATGGCAATTGAAAATGCATGCCTAACCCTATGTCAACAATTGTCTCTTAGAAACTTTTGACATAGATGTTGCAGATTCTATTTTGATTGCAGAGTGTTGACCAAAAGAATATGACATCTTAAAGTCAAAGCAACTGAATAACATAATTCTCCTACTAAATAAGAATTGATGTGGCCTTTGACATTTCTTGGAGGATGTTTAACATCAGAGTGTTGAATAAATAGCTTGTGTACAAAATATTAGATATCTAAGGTCTTCTTTGTAAATGAAGAATCCAACCATCCACGTAGTGTGTTCTGCAAATTTTCGAGACCACAAGCAGCGATGATGTTTGTAATCATTTATCCATTAGCGCACTGGACAACCATCAACAGTTATGCCTTTGGCTGTTGGACATGTTGCCAAATCACACTGTTCCCCCTTTGTGCCCCACCAAGTAACTTCTCTATTCTCCATTCCCACTGTGAAGTATAGCAGCACAGCCATGAAAGCTACACCAGCATCCAGAGCTGCTGAAAGAATGTAATTGTACCTTTGCCACCACTGCTTTCGGTAACGGAAGACAAAAAAGTTGAAAATGGTTCCGACTATGATCCAGGCATTGTAATTTAATGGTGTTGCTGGGGGCATGGCACCTGTTGCTCCCAAAAGGACTGGGAGGTTAATTAGAGGAATCCAAGACTGCTTTGGAAATGCCTTGTGGAAGAGCCAAACTATAATAGGTCCCAGGGCCCCTCCAAGAAAAAACCAATTCATTTCAGTGTAGTTTCCTAGAGTTCCAAAAATCCTTTTAGGTCCAACCAAACCCCATATGACAGATGCATCAAAGAACACCCGGTCTCCAGGGCATGTCCATGGACTATCTTGTGGAAGGAGGTCATCCTGGCAGATGTTCTTAATGGAGTGCAGCAGCCACCACGCCACAGATACGTTGATGGTGCCTGCTACAATTGTTCCTATGAACTGGATTCACCCAAGAGGAAATAAGATATCCTGATGTTAATACCACCTTAAGTATGATTCAAAAGAAAATTTGAACAGTTTTGCTACAGAATTCCTTGTTCTAGTATGTTTTCTGAGATGACTAGCTGTGTAATTATTACTTCTGATCCTAGTGTACATTTTGTTTTTTCATTAAAGCAAAGCAGCACTTTCTTTGTTTATACATGCCGTATTTGTGTGATTTATAGATGCTATTTTCATTGGTAGTCTTATCAATTTTCTTTGTGCCACCCGTCTGTTTGGGTTCAAAATCCTTAAAAAGGTTTATTTCCTTTAAGCATCTTTGAGATGAAATGATCTCTGCCCTTAGTCCTAGTTTTGAATAAGGTTTATTAGTTCCAAAAGTCATTGACATCTTAATTAAATTAAGTATGCCCTTTGACAGGCATCATTAATGCCAAAAAGAAGATTGACATACATGAAGTTTCCAGGCATGTCTTTAGTAGCAGTTGCATCCCATAGACTTTATTATACCGTAGGCATATTTGGAAGATTACAATACCCTCTGTTAAGTATTGGCATATTGATAATTAGGGTTTGAATACAGAAAGTCAGTAACCTCATAAACATAGACCCCCTTAGGCTTACATGTGAGCAAATATCAGGCTCTTTGCTCAGAATTATGAACAGTGTCAGAAAGGGAGATGACTGTCAATAAAACATAGCGACAGAATTACATGGGAGATCGCTATAACTTTATAAACTTTAAGGGGTGGTACTTCAAAGTAAATTATGGGGGCAAAAGTGACCTATGCATCTAAGTGAACTGAAAGCTTCTCTAGGTCTGTATTAGTTACAAGAGCATGTCAAAAGTACTTAGTAGACCTCAAGATGTTCATTGGGACTAACTACACTATGGAGAAACAGAGTCCTCAGTTTGTTAATCATATGGCATTGCAAAAGTACTCTAGCTATGATCATGATGTGCTTTCATTTGGATGATAGAGCTTTAATTGTAGCATTCTTGCTAAGAATGTAAATGTAATCTACCTGGACTAGAAACATTGATCGCGGGGGAATCTTCATGTAGTGGCCCAGCTTGAAATCGCTGAGGAATGAGACTGCCTGGGCCATGCTCATGTAACCATAAACTTTAAAGCAAACATTGGCAATCGGTCTTCCTGGATATATTATACCCATTATGTACTCTGTGATTATGTTCAGGCCTGGAGTCTGCAAATCAATCTCTACAATGTCAGCAGGATACAATGATCTGTAAAGCAAACCAAGATTTTTTTTCTTTTATATTACCTGGTTTGTGGTGGCAGTTATGATGCTGATTGGAAGTGTGAAGACAAAGGCCAAGACACTGGCAAAGAGGAGACCCCACCATGGCATCTGAACTTGTTTGTTCAAGAAAATGCAGAGTATTAGCGAGACTAATATTGTTATAACGAGCAAGACGTGAAACCACCATGAAGGTATGTCCTTGTATCTTCTCATTAGTCTTGTGTGTATATCCTCCTTTTCTTTGTACGAAGCACGGAATCTTTCATAAATTTCCCTGCAGTATGTATGGTTAAGTTTCAGTATTTTCCCAACATTGTTGAAATAACAATATAGTAACAAATCAATTTGAATGAAATGTTTTCAACACATTGAATTCTCTGTTCTAAAGGAATATTTGCTGCAAAATTTTAATCAAAAGAGTGAGTTGTACCATTTCATATTTATTGGATTCTGCGTCAATGCCAAAATAAGATACTTAGGTAAAAGGTGGTATGAATTTGAAATTCGCCACTATAGTTTCACCATTCTGATTAAAAATCTTTTGAAACCAGAACTCCAAAAATTTAAAGTTGCTCTTGAAGATAAGGCAAAAACAAGTTTAGACAAAGAAACAGTTAAAGGCTCGGAAAGTCATTTTTGAAAGAATGGAAAATGTATCTAAATGAATCTTCTTTGCAAGTGGTATATTGATATATTAGACTAGGAAAAGGGTGTTAATGAAAGGAAAATAAAAGAGGGGTTCAGGCTTAGTATTACCTTCCATAAAAGAAGCCCACATGTGTAAGAGTGGATGCGATAGTGGCAAAACCAAAACCATAAGTTAGAGCAAAGAACATGCTCAGATGTATCCTTCCTTGCTCCTCATACTTGTTCAAATCGAGCTCAAAGTTGTCATTTACTATCGCTACTATGTCATACTTTTGACCTTTGGCTGTGAACAAGTGTGATGAGAAAATGGGAAATCTTTTAGCACTGTACAAGTCAAGGCCCCAGTAGGCAACGGGGATGAATATGTAGAGTATCAACACATACCCCACGAGAACGTTGACAATGGAAAAGAAAGGGCTAATTAGGGGGCTGAACAGGAAGGATGCAACAACAGACCAATCCAGTGTTAATGCTCCTATACCAAGGCCCCTCATGCCAGAACCTATTTGCTGGGCAGTGACTGACTTGGAGAATACCCAACAGACCCATGAGATGCTGGAGAGTGTTGTGAAGAGGTATCCCGGGAACAGGTACCAAGAAAAGCTGCAGATCAGTGCAACTAGGAAGAATTTTGCCCTCGTCACGCGCTGCTCATCTTTTTCATGCAAGGCCCTGCAAAAGAAAAATGAATGTTATTTAACTTGTTTCAGAAAAAGAATTGAATTGTGTAGATTGTGAAAATGTTGTTGAGACGCAGTCAAGACAAAATGAAAATAGGGAGATACATTGCCGGTTATAAAATGAGTTAATTTGTGGTATCTGTCAACAACTAGTGCTTGAACAATCTCGGATGCGGTTTACGATGAGGTGAATATTTGGTTTGTACTACTCCCTGTAATTGCTGTAAATGCCCAGCATATTTGCTTATCCGTTTTCCCGCTAGCGCAGAAATGATGATGTTAATTTGGCGATAAGAACTACTCGTTGCAACAATTATTATGTGATGTATTGTGGTTTCTCGTGCTGTAGGCTTGTGGCCAGCCATAGATGCCTCTCAGCTAGCTCATAGTACGCTGCACCTCTTAAATCATCCAGACAATTTGGTGCAATCAGCAAAGAGATATGGTTCTCTGGGCACTACAGAGCCCTAGACAGATGGGATTGATTCAAAGTTTTTCATTTCTGTCAACAGATGGGAAGTTCAAATGCTGAAACTGGAAAGCTCATAGAATAGAACTGCTAATTTTTATTAACCTCTTGTACTGTAGTTGATGATGTTAAGTGGAGGGAAGGTCTTCTGAATTTCTAATAAACAAAACAAAATTCTCTGACTGAGCAACCAAAGTTGTCAATACAGCAAGAACGTTGAATTGAGTGCCAATCTTTACAAAAATTTGGAGTCTTGTGCAGTTTATGCTGTCCTTGCATGCACGCACCCTCCAATACTAAACTCCAAACTTACTGAAATCCTGCCCCTTGCAGCATCGATACATTCGGCACAGACCCATCACTTCAACAAGGGATCAACTAGATGTGGTTAACTATATAGAACCGAAACTTTTTAG